GTGCTGGGTTTATAAAGCCGTCCTCCCTAAAGCTCTATGGTTGCTTACATGTATTTGAATACTGATGTTTGTATGTGTAAATGAGATCAAGCCAGTAAGTATCTGTAGCATTCAAGAGCAGGGGCAAACAATTAAAACATATTATGACTATTTTAACTGAACTTTCCGGTTTAATTTAAAATTAAAAATTATGAAATTGTGGATTGGGATCAAAGACCAGCTACTAATTTGGGGTTTTTCTTTTGCATTGTAGGATGGTGTATTCTTCTATTAAAAATTTGGAAATTGTTTGAAACTTTATGTAGACAGGGTCTATATTATGAAAATTGAATAGAATTCAGATGGATACTCTAAGGTAAAATTATGACTGCTACAATATTCTTGATTGATTTAAGGTCAAGTGTTTAGCCAATGAATGCCGTACCAAAATACACTTAAGGGAACTTTTATAACACATATAGAAATACCCAGTAACTTTGAGGCCTACTATTTGTCCATTAGAGAATTAAGTTTCTATGTATGCAGATACATATAGCATTTGAACTTGCTTTTGAAAAGCTAGTTTTGAGGAATATACATCAGAGATGACTTTATAAAGTTGTTTGAATTTTAAAATCTATATTACAAAAATGTAGTTTCCAAATTATTTTTATGAAACAAGTTGGTGAGATGCTAATACTTGTTTTGTAGTGGTAATGTAGAGAGAATATAAATTTACTCAATTACATGCCATAAACAGAATCACAAGACTTGTGATATATTTTATCTGGAAGGGATTAATGGGGAGGGATTATAAAGGGTGGTCTGCTAGGTTCTGGTATGAATATATAGGTGAATAGTAGCCCCATTTAAAGAAACAAGAGCTACCAAGGTATTAATTTAATACTTTTGAGTATTGAAACTAAAGGAAATATCTGGAGATTAATTTGAATAGACAAGTTTTAGTCAAGTGTTTGTCAACTGTATGTCATATGGCTGCATCAAGCATTTTATATCGATCATCTTCCCATTATGTCAACAACCTTATATGTCTGATGATATTCCATTTCTAAATTAGGACATCAAGCTTGGGAAAGAAAATATCAAGCCTGAAACTGGTAAATAATTCATTAGGATTCAAAGTTACATTGAGTTGACATCACAATTCCTGCTATTTTTGAATAAGCTATAATAAATACTGTACTTAAACACAACACCCTACTTTTTCAAATTCGCATGTAATTATCATGCAAATAGATGAAATTTCTATAACATAGTTTATGCAGCAGGATAGAAGTGTATTTCAAGACAAAGGAGTGTTTCCATGATGGCTCGGGACAAAGAGGAAACACGAGCAACTCTATCATCAGTGCTCAAACAAAATTTTCCTGATGCCAATTATAGATACTGTTTTATAACTGAGAAAATAGAGCCCATAGTCCCAGGGCTGTCTTCACTGGCTGTACTAGCACTCATGATTTTTGCTTTAAGATTATTTACTAAAAATTAATTTTATCATTAGTTAATACAATATGCAATTTAATAGTGAAGTGGTTTGAGTGAAATCTGAATAAAACCTCAGAAAAAAAATAGCTTCAGGTTTCACTGGGACGGAGTCATGAAGCCAGATTGACAAATCTTTGGCCAATAGATCTGACATTCAGCTCCTTGCTAAAACTAATAAACAAATTTGCTGAAACCAATAAAGCAACCCTCACTCTTGCTCTGATGCAATGGTAGTCTCGGTGGTAATCCGGAAAATGCCTGCTGCCTCTAAGAGTTGTGGGCCATGAGGTTCTGGACAATTAATTACTCGTCCTGAGCATGTACTAAGTGCTTTGCAAGTACTTGCAGTACTTGTGTGTATGTGCATGTATGTATGTGTGTGCGTGCGTGTGTGTATGTATGTGTGAGAGTACAGTGAGAGCCTGTATGATTATAATTAGTAACAAACATCATGTTCATCATGGCAGCAAGAGTAATGGTGATATTTACTTTAATAGAAATGCGGAATATGGATTTGTAAGTAAGCTGAGTGTTTGTGCAAGGGCATGTGTGTTCTTGTGCATGTGGAGACACAAAGTTAGTGTCTCCTCTGATACTTTTCACCTTATTTAATGAGGTTTCATTTTGCAGTTGAATCCAGAGCTCATTTATTATGAGTCTGGGAAGTCAATCTAGGCTCCTGAGGCTATTCCTGAGGATCTCTTGTCTCTGCCTCCCAAGTGTTGCAATTAGCTGGCATGCTGGTTTGGCTTTTACATAGGTTTTTGAGGGCTCTAAATTCTGGACTTCCACATTTGCCAGGCACATACATTAGCCACTGAGCCATTTTACAAGCCCATGAATCAACTTTTTACCCTTTATTGACTCTGCCCACTAGATCCTCCAGGAAATGATGCTAGCCACTCGTTCTTCACAGGACTTTTGTAAAGATAATGCTATTCAGTTGATAACTAGATGATTGAAATTGTGCTTAACACTGACAGAGGCCTCTGTTGGCCCTTACCGTGACGTTGGAAGTAGTGATCAAGTCATCAGCCATTTGTCATGTGCTACGCAAAGCATTTTATACTCATAATCTTTCAATTATGTCAAAATCCTGTGAGCTTGATGTTATTCCTTTCATAAAGCCAGACATCAGCAAGAATGTCAACGATAATAAATCTTAACAGAAAACAGTGAGACCTAGAAAATCCCTGATAATGAGAGTTAATGTCTTTAAGAAATAGCCTAGCATCCATTACCTCTTAAACATACCTCATCCATATTAGTGAAGCCACTTGGATTTCCATGACTAACTAATCTTGTGTTCAGATTTCTCAGTTTCCACATTTGCTTTTAGTTAGGTTCAATTAAATTATGCAAAGGAATACATGAGAAGGTGGTTTTAATCACATAATAGACAAAATAAACATATAGTATCACAAAGTCAATGGTAACTGCGAGTTAACACTCTGTCCCCTTACCTAGTCATTTACCTACCTACCTACTCATCACGGCTTTCTAATTTTTTCTAGTATAGTCACTTGTACTTGAAATACTGCTATAAAATAAGTAGGCAATTATTACTACCATTATATTGTTTAAAATATGTGGCATAAAGGATTAATAAGGTATCCAGGTTTATGGTTTTTTGGATACAGGATGATATTATTTGTCTATCCAGAACTCTAGTGTGTATGTGTGTTTGTGTGTGTGAGAGAGAAAGATAAAGAGAGACAGAGAGACTGAGATAGAGAGAGAAAGAGAGAAAGAGATGGTCCATGCTGTGGTTTATTTTCTATCTGCTCTGGGTCTGCTATTATAATGTGCTCATTTCCTTGTCTACTACTTGTCTAATTCTTCTATTCATTTACTAACTCTGTCTATTCAATGGGCATGCATTCAAGTCACAAAGTATGCTCTAATAGTCACAGATATGGAAAAATTTATCAAAGACAAAAGTTAGGTGACTTGAGTATAATTCTTGGCCCAAGTCCCCTCAGTACCCCTAGCCTCAGCATCATGGACCAGAAGGATCCTCCATATCATCACATCTCCTTGAAGCAGTTCCTCTGTGAGGTCATTAGTTTGCTTTTATCCCTGTTTTGTTTACGGCCAATTCCTTGCTACCTTGCACAATAGTGCCTGTCTTGAGTCAACTGATTTTTCACAGTAGAGGATTAAAGCAATGAAATAACAACAGATTGGGGAAGAGGAGGTAAACCAGGAAGGAGACTAATATTGAGTCATTAGGTGGAAATGTAACCCTCTAAGTTAAGACATTTTTTTTTTAAATTTTTTGACAGAAGTTCTACTCACTTATCAGAACATAATCTGTGTTGTTTTGTAGTTTTGCCCTGACTCACTCAGGTTTTCTCAAGTAATATGAATTTTATGTTAGGAATAGAAATGGTTCGATAGGGACAACTACCTCCGCCCAAGGCTGTCAGCCTCTTAAACCCTAAAGAGTGTGAATATGTGACATCGTATCACAAGGGCCACAGGTTGAGCCTTCTGTTCAGTAGAATTGAGTAGAATGTCCTTGAGGCAGTGAAAGTGCTCTGAAGTGTGTGCAGGGACCTCTGCTATCACATGGTGAGTGAGAGAGAGAAAGCTAGGACTCAGTGTAGGAAACTGGAATGTGCCGCATGGACTGGGTTCAAAAGGAAGAGATCGTGGGGAGTGAGTGAAACAAACTCCTTCTGAGAGAGGGTGGAAAGGGGTGCAGTTCCACCAATTCCTTGTTTTCGGTTTACTGGGACCCATTTTTAGTTCTGTTTACAGAAATGTAAAATAATGAGTATATGATCTTTGAAGTCTGTGTTTGCTGTAAAAGGAAATGAATGCATGCAAGAGTAAGACTGTGGGCATTCCATCCATCAGTCCAAGAGTATAGATAGCCAAGCACCATGCCATTGCTCAGCTACCCAGGAAGATCAGTCTCTCTTGAGCTTTTATGCAGTAGGATTTCTTCTACCACTCTTCTGGGTTTCATTTCACCTACATAGCTTTTGCTGTAGGAGCATCCTGTTAGTACACACTCTCCTTGGCCACTACTGGAAGCTGCCTTTCACAAGCTTTGCTTTCCTTCCTTCCTTTCCCCCCGGCGCCCGCATGCTTTTCTGGGGGTGAATTCTAATTTTCACTTTTCTTTGCCTACAATTCTTAAGCATTCTAATTACAATATAGGAAAGAATTTTAATGATTTTATTAAGCCATATTGGCCACAGAAGACAGAGCCCTGATGCCAGCTAAACTGAGAAGATGCCACCAGACTGTATACTGTCTATTCTTGGATGGTCACTAATGGCTGGTGCAATCATCTTGGCAGATCGAGAAGGGCTGTGGGTTATTCAACATGGTCACTAAGAAAGCTTACCCAACACACACACACACACACACACACACACACACACACACACACACACGGAGAGAGAGAGAGAGAGAGAGAGAGAGAGAGAGAGAGAGAGAGAGAAAGAGAGAGAGAGAGGAAAGGAGAGAGAAAGAACACATTTGACACACAGTGGAAAACAAACCTGTTTCTGCCATAATGTTGAAATACTATTTCCAGAAAGAAAATGCCATGGAGTCAACTCTTGGCTTAGACCTTTAGATGTGAGACTGGAGACTTAAGGTAAGTTGTTTAACTACTGTTTCTTCATTTTCAGACGGAGGGAGTAGCTTGAGTATCTGCTTCCTAATTGCTGTAGAGATTAAATGAAATAATCCAATTAGAACGCTGACCATATAAAAAGCACTCAACTAATGACAGATGCTATTGTTGTTATGTTTATGGCACCGGAGTTCTTCCCATGATTAAGTGAGTGTATGTGTTTGTACTGCTACATACGAGAAGGCTTTGTCTTCTGAGGAAAGCTGTAATTGTTGTAGATGGATGATGTCTTACATTGTTTCTTGAGTCACTAAAATATAAAAGCACTCACCATTTATTACATGGATGACACCCAATTTCTTCACTCACTTACTAAATACTTCTTGAGCATCTATTATGTGCTTTAAATTATTGCTAAATTAAGAATTTAAAAGACTACGATGGTATTATATCCAGCCTTAAGGGTGTACTCTGTCTTCAGAGTGATAAGAAGAAGAGGGAAGGGAAGGGGGAGATACGTAAGAGAGAGGCCCTATCAGTCCAGAGCATAATATCTTAAACTCAGAGAAGACAAAAAGCAATCTATAAGAATTTGGTGGCCTTGTTCAAGGCACTCTTTTATAGATAAGTGATGGGAATTATGTGTACAAATACATTTGTCTTTTGACCATAGTGACTGAGACGTTGGATTAGTTTAGAAATGGACACATTCCTCCTGCGAGGATCGCTGAATCCCAATGCACAGCACATTGCTATACCCTCTCACCGGAGAAAGTTTGTGTCCCATGGTTAGCTTGCCGTTGCTGGAACTCTGAGCACCAGCCCAGCTTCCAGTGCTTTGAAACCTAGAATCACACGCGTTAGAAGAGGATCCTGTTAGAAGAAGTGCATTACTTGGGCCTTAGCACAGAAAACCGTGCCTAACACCGCATGCTTTTCCTTTGTCTAGTCTTATACAACATCTCACTGTTTCTTGTACAACATCTCACTGTTTCCAGAGTCCAGCTACCACAGCCCCCAAAGAGTCAGTAACTATCTTGGTTTATGGTTAATTGTGCAGGTGATGGCTTCATACATTGTTTTGAAATGTATTTCTCAAAATCAGCATGCCAGCTTTGATGAAATTTCTGAGGAATTATTTGCTTACTTGAGTTGTCTGAATGATAATCAAAACCTCGCACTTACTTGTAGATCAGTTTGAGACATCATGGAACACACTTGTTATAGGACTTAATCTAAACCCAATCCTGCTTATCATTTTACGGAGTCCATTATCACTGTGTTGGCAACAGTATAAAGGATGATTTTGTCTGTGTTAGCATCACTTAAGATATTGTGAACTCCTTGACATCAGAATCGGTCTCTCTCATTTACATGTACATATATGTAAACATAGATATTTCACATTTGATTGTCCCTTGTCCTAATGGTACCTAGCTCCTAGCAGTAGACTCAAAACAAATTCTTATTGACTTGCGTATGCGAACCACTCATTCATTCAACGACTATCTGCGGTGTCCTCCTAAACCTTGTGCTAGTCTATGTTCTAAGGATGCAGTGGTAAGAAATACTCAGTTATAACGGCATGGAATTCAAGGCTAGGAGTTCACTTTAAATGAAACCTTTGAATTGCGCCACTTGGGGCCTAGAAGATGGCTGAGTAAGAGCTCTTACCATATGACCCCGATGACCTGAGCTCCATCCCCAGGGCCCACATTGCAGAAGGAGGGAGAGAATTTACTCCTGCAAGCTGTTCTTTGACCATCACACACGTGCTGTGGCACATGGGAGATTACACATATGCAAACACACGTACAATAGTAATAATAAATCATGGTTTTACTAGATTTGTGACATTTTAATAGCTCTTGGTCATCACTTGCTCGGAGAGCAAAACAAGCCACAGATTCAGAAATTTTCTGTCCCTGTAATGTTTTCAGTCAAGTCATGTCACTAATAGCTGTCTCAAAGGTGGCTTCCAGTTCTTGAAAGGTTAGTCACCCACTCTGGAGCTCAGTGTCTGCTATTTTTAGTGGCTTTCTGCCAAAAGCAGCTTAGTCTAATTGGGAAGGGATGCGCCCTTAGTTTGATAAGTGAATAACACTCATGAATGATAATAGGAGCTATGTGTGAACATGAAGCAAAACTTGACTCCTAATACCATGCGTTGCATAAGAGCCTCTCAAAGGCTGCCTATGTGACTGATTGTCCCCCCCCCCCGACTGGCTTCCATCTATCACTGGAATTTAAGGAAAGAACTGCTTTTTTTCATCCTGGCGAATTCTCCCAAAACAAAGCCCAACTAATTATTCAAAAATTCCCAAACACACGTTAGGATAGTGTCGTGGAGTGAAAACACTCCCATTTGGACATCCCAGAGGAGCTGCCATGGATGAATGTTTAAAACAGATGCTTCAGTGAGCAACATATTTAATTAAATCCAAACCTGTTGTTATTATTCCAGAAAATATTATTATTAGCACAAGTTCCAAATGGAATTCACAGCAACTTCTGGTTGGAGTTTGGGGAGAGCGATTTTAATTTCTAGAGGAATTGAAAATAGAAATCGGCCGTTATCAGACTAATATTGGTGTTCATCGTAAGGGCCCTTCTAGTTACAACCTAAGTGCGGAGTGGCCGCTGCAGTAGGACGGCTGAGCCAAACAGCTGGCTGGCGAGGCCACATACATCATGAGAAAACGCTGCAGAGTTCGCATGAAGTAGCCATCTTCACTTCCACGCGAAGGAAAACTGAAAAGGAAAGAAAGAAGGCTTCCAACTTTGGAAGATGGGTCTCTAAGACTGACATATGTGTCGCCAATTATATAATTACTTTCTTATGTGGCTCTAATAAAATTATTTGGAGCCTTAAAGTGTCTAGCAGTGAATTATTTAATTTAATACGTGGTTATAACAAAAATAATTAGTATTTACTTTAAACTCTAAATTGTCAACAAAAAACCTCAAGCAATTATTTTCGCCGTACGGCATAATGGAATAAATGTGTAATTAGTGACAGATGGAACTTTTAAAATTTAAGACACAGAAAAAGTCATATCACCTGTTTTGATTACTTTTTTTTTATAACAAGAGTGAAATTAGAGTATTTGAAAAGGAAGCACAAAGAGAATGAAAAGAATTCACTCTAGTCAAGTTAACGTGTTAGTCCTTTGGCATGCTTCCCAAACTCCCAGAAACCTTTCTCTGAAATGTCTGGTTTCAAAACTTGTGATGGGCCAGAGCTGTGTTGTGCCAGGCAGGTCCCCTCTCCTTCCTTCGAGGCTAAGCTCTTTGCAGTCTGGTGGTCACCATTTTGTCTGGGCCCAAGTTTCAATGGCAGGATGGAATCTAACTTAACAGAACGGTGACACAGTTTCCTTATGCTGAGCCTTTTTCTTGATGCATTTGAAGATCTTTACCTTCCTGTGATCTAGAAACTATACCTCACACCGCGGCTACAATAATTGACATGATTTTGTCCTGCAATTGCACAAGATGAGCACAGGCTGCTGTGCCTCGGTTGGCTGCTGTGCTAGGTGGCTACAGTTTTCACGACACTCTCAAGTTCCCATGCATTAGCATCTTCTCATTGGAAGCCCAGTGGTAAATCTCATGGAGTTATAGAGATCTTGGCGTCTTGGTAACTCATGTTAACAAGAACAGTATGAGAAATCCAAGGCATTTGATTCTACCATTCTTTTTAAACTTTGAACATGTGTGTGTCAAGGGTTATGTACATGCAGTATGTGCTCATGGGTATGCAGGCTGCTTGGCCACATGAAGGCTAGTGATGATATAAAATGTGTTCTTCTGCTCTCACCTTTATTTCCTGTAGATGGGGTCTTTAATTGAACTAGAAGCTGTTTTGGTGAGGCTCACTGACCCAAGCTGCTCCCAGAAACCACATGACTTTCCTTTCAACACTGGGTTTCACGGCGCATACGATCACTCACAGCTTCTTAAATGGCATTGGAGTCAAACGGAGGTCCAGAAGCTTCCATATAATTTCGGTTAGAATCTCAGCCATCTCCCATTTCCAACTTGAAGCAGATGAAAATATTCCATGATTAAGAAGTGACATTTCTTTCCCAGCTGGGTCTGAAATCATGCAGGGGAACTATACAGAAAGCAGAGGGAAGAAACCACAGAACAGTTCATTCTGGTTTTAAGAAACACCGTATAAAAGGTTACCCATGCTGCTAAGTCAGTGGTTTGTAACCTTCTTAATGTTGTGACGCTTTAATACAGTTCCTCATGTTGTGGTGACCCCCAACTGTGAAATTATTTTTGATGCTACTTCATAACTGTAGCTTTGCTACTATTATGAGTGGTATATACATATTTTTTGGAGATAGAGGTTTGTTGAAGGGGTTGCAAGCCACACACAGGTTGAGGACCTCTGAGCTAACTGGCTTTGGTAACCGTTCTACCATTGGCAGCAGGTACTCTAAGTTACTGTCTCCTACGAGGATGGGAATCTTCCTGTATGGAATGGCAGGTTGGGTTTCTTCTCTGCTGGCAACTAAATCCACAGTCTCAGGAGGAGTGATGTCTTGGTAATCCATTCTGTCTTAAGAAATCTACATCACTGGTGATGTCAGGTTCCCTCACTGAAGAGCAGAACATAAGAGATAGAGCGAAGGCAAGGGGTAAGAGGAACTTCTCAGTGGGAAGCTAAGTGTGTAGCCATGACTTACTTTTCCCATTACGGTGACTAAAACACCCGACACACAGCTTCAAGAGGAAGCTTTGACTCTGTGTAGTTTGAGGCTATAGTCCTTTGTGGTAGCGAAAGCATGGTGGCATCTGCTTGAGGTGGTGGGTCACATTGCACCTACAGCCAGGAAGCAGAGGAACACAGAAGTGGCACTCAGCTTACTCTTTCTTTTTTAAAACCTGTCCTGGGCATGGAAGCTCACGGAAGGACATGGCCCACGCTTCACCCTACCTTGAAAAGCCCTCTTAGCAGGTTTAGAGGCTCATCTCCTGGCAATTTTCATTACGTCAAGTTGACAGTTGAGGTTAACTGTCACGCTGAGTCATAGGCGGGCAGGCTTTCCATCAGAATTCTCCAACTTTTAAAACATTCTTTAAAGAGGCATGTGGCTTTCTTATTGATGTTTCCCCTATTAGGAGTCAAGAGTCAGGAACGTGCCAATGTGATTGTATCTTCATTACTGTAGGCTGCTGATTTCAGCCCAGGACAGATGATTTGCATATGTGGTCTGCTAACATTCCAAACCTTCTCTGAAACTTCAAACTTTCCCATAAAGGCAGAGGCCTTCCACCTGGTAGGAGAGAACCATGGAATGTGTGTCTCTGAAGTCAGATGAGGATTCAGAAGGGACAGACTCTTGTAAAGTCGTGGTTTAGCAGGGATAAATGAATCACCCTTTCGCTCTTGGCAGTAAGGGCGAGAGTCGGTGAGAGCTTACCGGAAGGGGTGGGCTAGTTTACATTCTACGACAAGAAAACATGGGGAGGAGGATGTCAGCCTCTATTCTAGGGTTGTGAGAAAGGGTTTTAATCAAGATTGCAGACAACTTGTGCAGAGATCACCCCAAAGACTGTATTCAGAACAGGCACAGGCAGTACTGACAGTTGGAAGATGAGCTAATATGTAAATAGTGACAGAAATCTCAGCCTTGGGGAGTGTGAGCCAAGGGTAGTCTGTGGAGGAAGAAGTGATAACATAAAGAGGAGAGGGTGTATGGAGATCCAAGAAATGCAAATATTTAGAGGAGTCTAGGAAAGCGAAGAAAAATCAGCCAAGAAAGTTTGAAGAAAAAAACCAGAAGGGAATTGCATAAAGGACAGAGTGGTCCATACTAGGGAATGCTCAATGGTCAAGTGAGATAAGGATTGGCACACATCCCTGAGCTTGAGCAACTGTGGAGGGAATTGGAAACATCTGGACGAAGAGTGTCACCAGAAAAACTGGATCAGAAGCCACACTGCACTGCCTTCCGCTGAGAAGAGCGTGGGGGATGTAGGAAGAGGAAGAAGGGATGGTTTCTAGAACCCTCACTAAAGATGAAAGAAAAGTGAGCTAGGTGGATGGAAACTTCAAGCCCACGTTGCCACAATCCTAAGACTCTTGCCCTAATAATTTATGCATCCATGTGAATTTTCAGGTTGTTTTGACTTATAAATCTACCTGTCAGTTGTCTCCAAACCACGAGGCTTTTGGGAAGAAAAGTTTTGGTTCTTCTTCAGCACTTCCAAATTGCAGGAACCAAAGGAGGGATTTGCTGGAAATATTTTTGTGGAGGACAGGATTAAGAATGGAAAGAGGTTCCAAGCTCAGGGTGCTGCCCTATCTTCGAAGTGGGGGTGAAATTTGCTCTCAGTAGGTCAGCGGCTGGTATTCTGTTACACAAATACAGAGTGTAGTAACACACCACACAAAAACAATTCCCTAAATCACACTTCTAGAAGAACTCACAATAGATTCTTGGTGAACAAAGATTTGCAGACCTAGTCTATTAAATATATTCTTCAATATGAATAAGAGAGAGACTAGAGAAGGATGATCAGAACGATGTCTCCGACAAAGCCTTTTATATACAAACAAGATCAAATAGCAGCCGTTGTGAGAAACTCCAGGATTTTGGAGGGAAAAGTGTGGCATTCAGGGTGCAACACAGAAAGTAAGGAAACTGAGTCTGTAGTAGCATCACAAAAATGGTGCCTGCCACATTAGGAGTTTATTTTATAGACGATGATGCGTTCCTTGCATATGAATGTGACAGGGTTATATTTGCAGTAAAGATAGACCGCTCCATCAGCTTGAAATGATTTAGCTGCAGATAAAGAAAACCCGATTAACAGAACTTTAAGCCTCCTGGTGCATACTGCATTGCTAATGAGAAGTCTAAATAGCATCAGTATAATGTGGTACTGTTGACCAGTGATGTCATCTAACCCTGACTCTTGACAGTTTTGTGCTCGCTCCTTCTCTTGCTAGTTAAGGCTGATGCTTCACTTGGGGAAACTCATTTATCCAAAACGTCTAAATTATGAAAGGAGGGGAAATGGTAAGTTGTCATCATCTTAAGGATGCCTTTTGTTAGAAAGATAAAGTCAATCTTAGGCATCCTTACCTGACATCCCCTATGGTCCCTTAGGCAGGAACAGCTTCCCGAAATACTTTTCGATGAAAGCAAGGTAAAAAGAGTAAATATCTAACAATCAACAAAAGGAAAATATTTCCCCACACTATGTATCAACCAGGAGCAGGTGGCACACTCAAAATGAATAATTTTAAAATAATTTAACAAAGGAGCAACTTGCAATGATTTGACCAAAGTGTAGGGAAACCATAAAAGTAGAGTTTTGGTTTTACTGAGTGCTTGTAGGGATACAAATAAGTCCATTGCTACTATCTATAAAGGCCAACACTGTGGTGTTAAGAACCCTGAGAGGACTAGAAAGAACGTATGTAAAACTATTTGTCTGATTGACTTGTCTAGCTTAATCGTATACAATTTGCAACCATAACAAGTCATATGTGCTGGGTGGGGGAGACAAAAGGCTCCCCTTACTAAAATAGACTTGTAGATGTGCCAAGGAGGAGACATTTTTCACAAAAATCCCTTGCAAGAGGTGTCATCAGACAGTAGCTGACTCTTGATAGTGTTCGTGGGTTGGATGTATCACCTACAAATTTAAAATACTTCATGTGTTCCGTTACAATTCAGAGGAGAGAATGTCCGTTGGTTTTGAGCAATTTTGTTTATGTTTCTTTTAAATAAGTAAAATCAGAAATTTAACGATTCTTTATATTCCCACATGTCCTAGTCAATCCTATTGGCCATGTGAGGTCGTGGAAAGGGTGAGCTAGAAATAAAGTTAACGAGTATTATGGTTAAGTTAAGGATGACTGAGTTGTTGTGCAGAAGAAAGAATCTGAGTGTGTCTTTTTGTTTGCCCTTTGCTCACATTAAATCTTGGACCAATGTACTGCTGAGCTTAGATCTCCTCACTAACAAGCACATAGCCAATTCTTTATTCCTAAAATTATTCTTGAACAGCTAGTAGACAAACACATTGAACAGTAAGCCACTTTAAGAGTCTTTCCGTTTCCCATAATACACTGGAAATCTATCCAGCTTCTTTTATGCATCGATGATTTATTGATTGATACAATTCCATGGTGTGGGAATACCAGTCTGCCCATTACTCTTCATTTCAGTGTGCTGAGTATTTGTGGGTGAATTACTCGTGTAAAATGCATGTGGTCATTCCTTGCTTCTCCTCAGATTGTGGTCAGAAGGCCAGTCATCTCAAAACTATGCATATAGTGCTCGTTAAATGTAGAGTCTCAGGTCACAGTTCCTTAACTCAGATTCACGCTCTTCATTTCAATCAGGTGATGCACCAAGCTGTTAAAGTCAGGGAAGTAATGAGCTTCTGGTGATCACAGAAACACAAGCAGAACTTCTGCAAGGGTAGGGCCACTCCAGGTATTAAAGAAACACTGGGTCGCTACTAAAGCCCTTAGAAGCAATTAAATGTATTTTCTCCTAGCCCTCAGACTGTCATTCACTCTTTGTGAAAATGGTAACTAGAATAATTTCCCCGAGGTTTCATCAGACACATTACCAGCCTGTATGAAAATATTCTCTCCTTTGGCCAATCTGGCAAACTCACTGGAGAAAACTGGGAATTGGCTTGTGGCCATTTTGTGCGCAGAGTACCACCATGTCCACTACAGAGAGCCCATTGTCTAGAAATAATAGTGAGGTTTTGCCCACAGCAGAAATCTGCATTCAATCCTGCTATCCCAACGAGTGGAATTTTGCTGAGAGCCAAATTCTCAAGTCTTCTTAATTTTAGTGAAGATGTGTGTTTTTGTAAGTGCAAATTCAAGAAATTAAAGTTGGACTTTTCCTAGCTTTCCTCTCTCCAGTGTTTTATGACGGGAAGGACCTTTGAGTATTTTCTCAAAATAGCAAGTGCCAGCCAAGCTAAGTCAGCTTTGCTGTTAAGCTCACCACCCAAGTCTTTGTGAAAGCCTGGCTAGGAAACACAAGGAGATCACTGTGACTTTGGACACTCTCCCTTGTCATGTGTTCAGTCAGGTGTGGCCAGTAATCCAAAAGGAACACTACCCTGGAGAAAGTCCTATCCAAATCTCATGGGTCACTGGGGTCCCTCCATTTTCTGGTGCACTTAGATATGGCATTAGTAAAAGTCTCACAGATACGGCATTTAAGATAAACAAATGAGTACAGGGAACGGAAGACTGCCAAGTTCTCTGAGTTTTGAAAAAGAGACTTCGATTAAAAATGTGTAAAATGGCTTTTTTTTGGGTAGGAAAAATACAAGTTGAAATGCCCGCATAGTCAGCAAGTGGGAAAAAGCACTGTTTTTCTAGAGCAAGCAACAATTTCGTTACAAAGGTTGTCTCTTCTGTTAAGTTGGAAGGACATTTGTTTCCATATCCCTAGCTGCTGAATGCAGACCGAATTTTTAACAATAGCTAGAAGTATGAGGTTGCAGCAGTAGTACTCTTGTCTGGCATGGATGGTGTCAGAGTAGTTAGGATCTCAAAGGTCATTATCCTGTTCTGTAACCTCCAAGTTTAATGCACAGATGGAGTTCATGTGGGCAAGAGGAAGTGTGCTTCGCTACAGCAAGCCATGCAAGCTACAAGTGTATTTCCAAATTCCTCACAGTTAGACAGATGTTTCAGTAATGGAATGGGAAAGGCCGTCTTCGTTTGTGTTGTTGCGTACACATGGACCATTGGCCTCAGAGAAATTTCTGCTGCATTAAAGATAAGTTATAAGTTTGGATGTTGTAAAAGCCAATTTAATCCTGAATGAGCTTTCGTTTTATCACAGGAAATTTTATAGTTCGACTAGAAGGAAAAATAAGTCAAATAAAACAATAAAGTAAATACTTTAAGATTAAGAGGCCATCTCCACACAGCAGAAGCATCTCAGAGTCTAGATTTTGCAGCTAGGATCTGTTTCCATTATCTTGGTTGTTTTGGAAGATGCTTTTAAGCCTCTTGTGTTAGTACACAAAACACCCAAATCAGTGTTCTCTTCCAGTGATACATTTTTGGATCCCTGTATTCTAGAACTATTCAAGCCTCCTGGCTCTCTCCTCACTCACGTCCAGAAAAGTAGGGTTTCCTGTCTGTATTCCACTATACTAATTTGAAGTTTCAAATTTTAGCAGAAATTTTACCTTCTTACGCCAGAGTTTTGTTTGTTTTTATACTTT